TGCAAATATAATTTAAGTGAAAATGAGCTAGACATTCATATCAAACCGGAATAGAAAAATTGTTTGTATATAAATATGTCTTTAGAAAATTTTATTGGAAATCTTACCTGGAATAAATATTTGAGATGTACAATCTATATCTTTGTCCGAAACTCTAACAAAATCTGGATGTAGTGCTTCTAAGAGCACGTCGTTACTAATGCGTGAAAAGATATGTCCGCTCTTTACCACTGACACCAAAAATACAGGTGTAGTGCTGTTGTTATGACACTTACATCCACTCTTTACCACTGACACCAGAAATACAGGTGTAGTGCTGATGTTATGACAGTTAAATCCCCTCTTTACCACTGACACCAGAAATACAGGTGTAGTGCTGTTGTTATGAGTTACATCCCCTCTTTATCACTGACACCAGAAATACAGGTGTAGTGCAATTGTTATGACAGTTACATCCCCTCTTTACCACTGGCACCAGAAATACAGGTATAGTGCTGTTGCTATGACAGTTACATCCCCTCTTTACCACTGACACCAGAAATACAGGTGTAGTGCTGTTGTTATGGCTGTTACATCCCCTCTTTACCACTGACACCAGAAATACAGGTGTAGTGCTGTTGTTATGACAGTTAAATCCCCTCTTTACCACTGGCACCAGAAATACAGGTGTAGGGCTGTTGTTATGACAGTTAAATTCCCTCTTTACCACTGACACCAGAAATACAGGTGTAGTGCTGTTGTTATGACAGTTACATCCCCTCTTTACCACTGACACCAGAAATACAGGTGTAGTGCTGTTTTTATGACTGTTACTTCCCCTTTTTACCACTGACACCAGAAATACAGGTGTAGGGCTGTTGTTATGACAGTTAAATTCCCTCTTTACCACTGACACCAGAAATACAGGTGTAGGGCTGTTGTTATGACAGTTAAATCCCCTCTTTACCACTGATACCAGAAATACAGGGGTAGTGCTGATGTTATGACAGTTAAATCACCTCTTTACCACTGACACCAGAAATACAGGGGTAGTGCTGTTGTTATGGCTGTTACTTCCCCTTTTTACCACTGACACCAGAAATACAGGTGTAGTGCTGTTGTTATGACTGTTACTTCCCCTTTTTACCACTGACACCAGAAATACAGGTGTAGGGCTGTTGTTATGACAGTTAAATTCCCTCTTTACCACTGACACCAGAAATACAGGTGTAGGGCTGTTGTTATGACTGTTAAATCCCCTCTTTACCACTGACACCAGAAATACAGGGGTAGTGCTGATGTTATGACAGTTAAATCACCTCTTTACCACTGACACCAGAAATACAGGGGTAGTGCTGTTGTTATGGCTGTTACTTCCCCTTTTTACCACTGACACCAGAAATACAGGTGTAGTGCTGTTGTTATGACAGTTAAATCCCCTCTTTACCATTGGCACCAGAAATACAGGTGTAGGGCTGTTGTTATGACAGTTAAATCCCCTCTTTACCATTGGCACCAGAAATACAGGTGTAGTGCTGTTGTTATGACAGTTAAATCCCCTCTTTACCACTGGCACCAGAAATACAGGTGTAGTGCTGTTGTTATGACAGTTAAATTCCCTCTTTACCACTGACACCAGAAATACAGGGGTAGTGCTGTTGTTATGATAGTTACATCCCCTCTTTACCATTGACACCAGAAATACAGGGGTAGTGCTGTTGTTATGACAGTTATATCCACTCTTTACCACTGACACCAGAAATACAGGTGTAGTACTGTTGTCATGGCAGTTACATCCCCTCTTTACCATTGGCACCAGAAATACAGGGGTAGTGCTGTTGTTATGACAGTTATATCCACTCTTTACCACTGACACCAGAAATACAGGTGTAGTACTGTTGTCATGGCAGTTACATCCCCAGTTTGCCGCTCGCACCAGAAATACAGGTGTAGTGCTATTCGGGACTTTTCCTTGGTATCATATAATGGTGTTATTTTAACTATTCCATTTTGATCTTCTCCACTTAGATATACGAAATATAGTAATTGGAATCCTTTACGTGTGACCCTGAGACATACGTGGGTCTTGATCCTTTAACAGAAATTGTACTACCTTAGTGTATTTGTAGAACGTGAAGAACAAGGACAAATCTAAAAGTAATCTATAAAATTCATTAGTTTTGTGTCTTCATCTGTTGAGGATTAATAACAGAACTAAGAATTAAGCAGAATACACATCTGTAGGATATGTACTTTAGATGTATATTGTTGATGCAATGTCTACAAGCACTCCATACTACGCATGTACTATAGATATCAAGCAATGTGTTATTTATGCTATATAGGTATAACAGTGCCATTTGTAAATTTTACGTTTTTGTCTGGTGTTATTAGTGCATTGTCTACATATATAAATGTATAGGATGAAAGAAAAAAGGAAAACAGATCTTGTATATTACAAGGGGTACAAGACAGATCGGGCGAGAATGAAAAGTCTTCTGCAGGGTATTACAAAGTAAAAATTAAACCTGTTATCTGTAAAGAATGGTACAGGAAAGGAATACTCTTTATATATGACGTTATCAAAGAAGATGGTTCATTTTATACTTATTTAGAAGTATTTATATATATTGTTATTGTATTAGATCCAATTTCGAAACAGTTTATCTAGTATAACTTTGAATTTGATTACTATAAAGAGGAAATCAAAGGGACACATGATATGTATACAGTCTTAAGTCATAGTGTGACTAAGCCTACGTCACAAGAAAAATGGTCTTTAAACTTTAAACTTGAACATTCAGAAAAAGCACTGAAAAAATATATGCGTGTCCTTTTAGAATTACCGTAGTGTGCTCTAAGCTGGGTCAAAGTTCATGTAGAAAAAAATATCGAATTCCCCATCTGGACCTTTTGTGACAAACTACATCTAACACGATGACCAAACGAATAGATTTTGAAGAAAACATCTAGGTTTTCTTCCACATGTTTCGTATTTCTCATGGAAACGTCTTTTAACGTGCAGCTCAAGTGGTTCTTTTGGTAAGGTGATCGGATAATTTGAAGACATATCAATTTCGTCTAAATGATTTACATTTCTGAAAATAAAGCTACTGTTACTGAACGCTCTGTTCAGGAATGCGTCGCGGATCGTTAGCTTTTTAACACTCACAATATTTTAAATAGTCTTCCCCCTGAGTATTCAAAGATTATTTCAGAGAAGTCGAGGTATTTTGATGTCCATATTAGAGATATTCATGTAGGAAAAATAGATATAGGTCAGCTTTGGGGATCGCTCATAAAAGTAGCATGAATCTTACTTTGATGACATCATATTCTGTGTAATATGTAACTCTCCATGACATTGACATCGGTCTTAAGGCAGTTTGAGAGTTGCAAGGAAACGAGAGTTAGAAGGAGAGATAACTTCTATAACACACTCTAGTTAAAACAGTATTCCGTTGTATAAATATACTGAAAAAAAAATTGCTCAGGTTTCTAAACAAATTCAATGATTAATGAATTATGTTATAATAATTTGTAGGTAAACATTTGTCATAGTGCTTGTAGCTTCGTTGTTCAAGAAACATACCAGCTCATATGATAATTCGTCTCTACTTACATTATTCATGATCACTGATTCCATAAGCAGAAAAGATTAACTGAGGACAAAAATTTAACATACTAAGTTTCTTGTATCAATCGAAAAATTAGTTTCAAACATAAGAAAGTACTCTTGCTTTAGAATAATAAAATCACAATACTCCAGATACAATGAAATTACCCTACATCAAAATTACCAAATGCTTATACATATGCACTACTGTACCCGATACACAAATCATGACACAATCGTTTACAAATCTAAAAATAGAACGAAACACCTAAATCAACATCAGAAAAATCAAAAAGGATATTTCAAGATACAAACATTTAAATCGACATATTTGCATCATATTTACCATAATTAGTTTGCTGGTATCGTCATATGAGTCAAATTGCGTATAGCTACAGAACGTGTTTCGCTGTAAGTCAAGTATGGACGCGCCCAGGTCAAAAGATCACAATAAAGTCGAAACCAAACTGGTAACAAAAAATCAGGATTAGTAAGGTCCATTACAGTGCTCTTATTGCGAAAAAAAAATAAAAACTTTTATTGACTAAACTCTTAAGATGATCAATCACATTGACTAAATTGAAGATAATCAATCATGGCTTAACTGAAGTCGTAATACTTTCGGAATTTACATCTCAAAGATTGTCGAAAAGATTCTCTTTTCATGATTAATCTCGGCATACATCGTCCATAAGCGTACACTTTACACATAGGTTTGAATAAAAGTCATAATACATGCAATAAATGTATAGGTAATGTTTTCGGGTAGCAGACAAATACACGGTTAAAACGTAAGGGCACTTTCGTCCGGAAACAAAGACTACGGTTTAACAGAATTCTGAACTTTCTGACTAACTTGCTATCTTTTCACACATGGCACAGTAATAAATGTGAAATTTTGATATTGATAATGTGTTCGATTTACGGTTAGTCCATGCTTAATATATCAGATTTTGCAAGGAAAATGACTATCTGTGGCCACGGCAGTAGTATTAAGTCAATATATCACCTTCGTCCTTAAGGCATTGAATATTCCATATTATTTGTTCTATTAGATACAATCTTCGGAATCATTAACTTCATAGTGAGTCCGAGTCTTATTGAAGGAGGATGTCAAGAGAGATACCAAAGTACAGAAAGAGCAGACGGAAAGGAAAGAAAAAGGTCAATATTCAAAATATTGTAATGATGCACCATAAAAATACTTAAAGTAATATCCTAACGAGTTTATCAAAATATTACACATGCAACAAAATAACTCAAATGTTATTTTATCAATAAATTCAGGTTGTTCTTATAGACAAAAGGCGCTTTCAAAGCATGTATTAAGCGGACCTATCGCAATAAATGTACAATTATTAATTGAGAATGCTTTAAGCAACAATATATATTCAATCTTGGCGTCATTTCTTCAAATAACTTTTTTATTCATCATGTCAAGATACAACATACGAGCAATCTCTATCATATATGTTATATAATATGGTATTATGATCAAACCCTTTTCGATCCCAATTTTCAGTTTTTCGTATGACATCTGACATTCGTCTAATGATAACGATGATGATTTTGGATAGACGTGCGAACGATGAAATTTACAGAAAGTGCCCAGTGTAACCATTCTCGTGGTGCTATGATGAGAACACAAAGCAGTTTTACTTCATACTTCTATCGTACCCAATTTTATACCTGATCTTGTCTCAAACCAAATTATATGTATATGGTGTTGTTTCATTCTTTGAAGATATGTTATGATGAAAAGGCGTCAATCAGTTATCTTGTATTGCTATGCCAAAAACCTATTGCAAGCAATTATGCAAGCTTACACAATGATGTTCTGGCAGAATGCTAAAGCAACATGATGTCGAATCACGTAATGTTAGGAAAATAAATTAAAACTATAGTTTTTTTTAAATTAGATTTCATCATCCTATATTGATATGTTGATGTTGATAGGCCTTTCGTAATTCTATATATTGATATACAGAGTTGTTAGGAAATAATACTGTGGTGTAGTCGACACCAGAACAGTTCAAATGCGTCCATGTCTGTTTTATCGAGTGGGTATATTATACATGTGACATGTTGCCAGATATTTCTGACAAGACGAGGCATTCCATCCGCCGGTATTTCTCCTTTAATAGCCACAATAATTGAATTTGTACAACCTCGCTGGACCCGTTCCATGTTGGCCATTTCAAGTTCAAAGTCACACCACCTAGCATTGATATATTCCGCTGATATTACAAATAATATCTTCTTGCTCTTTTGCAAACAGTTCACGATGTTTTGCGAAATAGATTCTCCAACTTCAAAGTCGCGTTCATGCAAACATAACTGTATATTATGTTGTAATTCTAGTTTAGGTCGCAACTGTTGCCAAATCCAGGGTGAATCTGCTGCAGTGTAAGCAACGAACAGATCAAAATTATACGTGGTAATGTCCTCCAAGCCGGGTTTGATTTTACAGTTCCTGTAGAAATAATACAGAATTCTCCATCTGTACTGGTAACAAACTACAGATATCACGATGGCCAAGAGTAATAAACTTATTGCTGATATAGAAAATTGTAACCAAAACAAATGATCGTTACAGTTTCTGAAGTAGGTGTCTCGATTATCGTACACATACTTTATATTCGTCACGGAACCGTCTTTTAACATGCATTTGTAGTTCGATGGCTTTCTGTGTAATTTGACTTTTGTCATTATCCATGAGACAAATTCCGCAGTGTCACATGTACATGTGAAGCGATTTCCATCCAACAATAACGTAATATTAGGTCTATCATCCAGCCAATCACGGGCTGGCTTATCGAGAGACAACAATTTGTTATACCTAATGTCGATATGTGTCAGGTTAGTCATTTCAAATAATCCACGAGGAAATTCGCTTAGAAAATTCTGTGTTAATGTTATCTTCTGAAGACACTCTAGGCCCTCAAGTGCTTCTTTTGGTAAGGTGTTCAGATGATTTGAGGACATATCTATTTCGTCTATATGATTTACATTTCTGAAAATATAGTTACCGTTACTGAAGGCTCTGTCGAGGTCTGCGTCCCGGATGACTAATTTTCTAACACTCAAGAGGCTTCCTAAGAATCTACTTCCCGAGTATCCAAAGCTGATACCAGAAACATCCAAGTACGATAGACTTGCCCCTTTGACTTTGAAGTCCATATCAGTTATAGTCATATAAGAAATGTCAACGTATATTAACTTTGGTGATTTTGAAACATCGATGCTACATTTGAAATTAAACGGAAATAACAGATGAGACATCCGCATGTGACTCAAGTTTTTTGACGAAATCGGAATCATGCACCCCTCTTGTTCAATTTCGCTCAAAGATAAATGCCGTTCTATTTCTGTATGATAAGCATTTGGATCCAGGTACTGATTATTCACATTTCCAGCAAAGTTCGGAAACTGATTTCCGACATTATTTGAGAACTGAATTGCCATATAAGAATAGTCAATTTCCTGGAGATTTACAGCGTGATAAAAAAGTTTCATAATATCAATACTGTATTTTGGAAATGCAAACAAGAAATTATTCTCACGCAATATAAAACGTCTCAAACAAGAAATATGTTTCAAATTTGCTAGCGCCTCAACGTCAAATTCCACAATTCCATTTTTACCAATATTTATATCTTCGATGCACAGATGTCTGAAGTACTTCGTCATGGATTTCGTGACCTTAACGGCATAGCTAACATCGTACATCCATAAAAGTATCAGTGGATTTACGTTATATATATTCAAAAGTTTCATATGTCTTACATGGTAACTCTGATTTTTTGTCATAGTTAATCCATACAACATATCCATGGCAACAGGAAATGTTATCATTGTCCTGGAGAGATCAAGTGACTCTAGAGAGTGGAAATATTGTAGGACCGCTGGCTCTACTTTCACCCATGGTTCAATATGGACCTGGCAGTTAGACATTTGTAAGAAGGTCAGTTTCGTCAGATTTATGAAATATTTGAATGTTTCATTCTTTAGATGCATTATAGTACAATCCTGAAATATAAGTGACCTAACATTTGTCATGTTACTGAAGCCTTCCCCGAATACGGGATTTGGTAGAAGGTCCAGGATGAGATCTTCTACACTTGAAAGCGACGCGAATACCTGGTCCGGATACACACTATCGATCTGTTTTAACGTTGCCCTTGTGTTGAAGGATAAATCTAAATGTTTCAGGAAAGGATTGTTGTGGAAACGCAAGTGTTGAAATCTTTCGTGTAAAATGTTAATCATGTTTTGACTCAGGCTTAAATGATGCAAGTATCCAAGGCTTGCAAATACTTGTCCGTCCAGGTGATGAACATGGCATCTGCTAATGTTCAGTGTTTCTAGTTGAGGTAGATGTTTAAATGACGAGTTTGTCAGAGTTGTAAAGTTGTTTCCCGAGAGGTCTAAAACCTCGGTCTGGTTTGAAAGAACTGGTATCTGGGTTAAGTGCCTTTCCGAGCAATTTGCTCTCTTCCCATCTTCTGATATAGAACACGGTCGACAGCAGACAAAATGGATGATAGCGAGAAGAATGAAAATAACTCTTAAACCCATGCTGTATATCTGAAAGTAGAACGGGTATAAAATATAGTCTCGTCATAATCATACAATTCTACAATTAAATGCGACTGAAATCTATTATAATAGGGTGCTCTGCAGACAACACTATATCTTTACGAATGCTAAGTTCACCTAATATTATCATTGTTGAATTAAGATGTTATAACTCTAAATGTAAGGGATTAACATGTCAGGATGGGTTGAGGGAGATAAGCGCCAAAACCACCTCGGAGTGATGGGTTATTGGCGTGTACATCAAACAAAACATTATTTTCATTAGTCTATATTTTACACAGTTACTTAGAAGTAATAGACGGTATCCATACGTGAATATTGTTTTAATACATATCTAATCACAGAAGATAAGAACACAGTTTCCATACAGTGAAGCAATAATATGAGACACAAGTGCATGGAAATACCAAGTTTGATAATACGACGGTTTTTTCAACAAAAATGAGTGTACAACCTGTCTCAGTATTACACAATTAATTAATAAGCAAAACATCAACTTTATAAACCATCTAATGCTGAATAATTAACTTGAATACCAATCTGTGCTGGCATGGTTGTGTCCGAGGTGCGTGACACTGGTGGTTTGTGTTTCTCGGGCAGGAGAAATCGACCAATCTGTGCTGGCGTGATTGTGTCCGAGGTGTGTGACCCTGGTGGTTTGTGTTTCTCGGGCCAGAGAAATGGACCAATCTGTGCTGGCATGGTTGTGTCCGAGGGGCGTAACCCTGGTGCTTTGTGTTTCCCGGGCCTGAGAAATGGACCAATCTGTGCTGGCTTGATTGTGTCCGAGGTGTGTGACACTGGTGGTTTGTGTTTCTCGGGCCGGAGAAATCGACCAATCTGTGCTGGCGTGATTGTGTCCGAGGTGTGTGACCCTGGTGGTTTGTGTTTCTCGGGCCGGAGAAATGGACCAATCTGTGCTGGCATGGTTGTGTCCGAGGGGCGTAAACCTGGTGGTTTGTGTTTCCCGGGCTGGACCAATCTGTGATGGCTTGATTGTGTCCGTATGCAACACTCTTTTTTACTATTTAACTACGTAAACAGGTCTTTTCATATGCTTCATAAACATGATGAAAAGACGGTAAACGAAATGATGTATTACACCTACCCTGACCGATTATAGGACATTACAATACTAAATATGGAAGATATTTAACGTAATGTTATTGTTAAGGACTTCGTTTATGATATCTTAAGTATTATATATGATATTATACAAGAATTAAAAATTACAAAACAAAATCTTACCACTTGTAGTTATTTTATATCAAAATGTCTCAACGTTATTTTTATACTAGATTTTCCAATAAAAACTAGTTGTAGTTATAACGTTACATCATTGTCGATGATATCAAATATTACACTGACACTGAATAAAGGAAATAAACGAAAAGAAACGAAAAACAAAAAGAGGGAAGATTAAAATATCTTATTAACTAAGTTTGAGTCAATAGTTTTTGATGTGAATCATTTTTATTTCATTTTCACATCTCTTCTAGTTTAAATATTACCACTTTCGTGAACAGTTTAAACCCACAACTAGAAATGTTATAATCAAGCTAGTATTCCATCGTCTGCGTTAATACTGACCTATATTATCTAAGGCGGATTTACCTCCAGGAGTGTTATCTACAATATCCCCTGCAAATTAACGACAGCAGTCTGTGCATTGGAATAAACACACATTTTTGTACTGTAAATACCATAAATAGCCATAAAACTTGTTCAACAAAACATGTTACAGTTCAAACGCATCATCACAAAGAGCATTTTAGCTATCTGGACGTTGTAAAAAGACAACTTCGAGATCCCAATGTTGTCATTCCAACAAAACGTATACCGAATACTGAAAGAGTAGTATAATGCAACTAACAGTTTAAATATGGTGTGTGTGCATGACTGTTGTTGTGCAGGCCAACAAGTATATGATAACATTTTGGAGAGTAGAGAAACTTACTACGGGGATTAGCGCATACGTATTTGGCAACCATGTCCAAACCCCTCCACAGCGAATATAATGATATTTGTCGAGACATCCTTATTTCAGAACAGCTTAATTATAAGGTACTGCATAAAGTGACTGGTTTATCTATCAGTTGTTATCTGTTCATTATGCAAATTTTGATACGGCTTTCTTGTGTACCAAGGTAACTCACAGAGAATTCATTGGCATTCTGTATTAGAGTGCTGCCGGTAAGAGTATTACGTAATGGTATACAGATATACAGATGGCTGTGTTTATCAATGAGTGGATGAATTTTAATCAATTAATTATAACTTTTTTCTGTGTTTAACTATGTATAAACATGAAAGCAGAATCTACTCTGAGGGGCCGAACAAGGGGAATTTCTATTCTATTTACGAAATATACACTTTCAAATCAGAAACGAACAAGTAAGTGCTGTATACATAAGCGGCTTAACTGAATGCCTAAGAAACATTTGACCAAAGTTGTATAAGCATTTAAGAAATAACCATAGGATCAAAATCTATTCGGTAGTGCAAAACATATAAAGTGTATTGACCTTTGACATAATAAAATAATACTTTGTTTCGTGTGGTGATAAGTGGAGATGAAGAAGTCCAAACGCTGTTCGGGTGTTGAAGGTTTATTGAGAAATATGCCTTCAGGCTATGGAAATATGCCTTCAGGTACCGATACACTCTGGCTAGAAAGGTGGTCGTATTTATACTAGCCATGTTAATTAACTGATAAAGCACTAATACACATTTCCTAACAGGTAAACATGGATTGAACTATATATGAGTTATTGACATGGTCTTGCACACATAAATGACAATAGATGCGGCTGTTTACAACAATATAAGGTTACATTGACCTTAATACAGACTGCTTAGATAGGCCTTAGGTAATGACTAATGTAATCAGGGAACGAACTAATACATGAACATGTGTAGTCGATCAGCAACGACAGAATACCTCTGGTCACTGGTATATATATAATTGTTCACAGTAGATGGCAGCAATAAATTAACAAAGGCAAATACATTAGGATGAAACATCTGACTTATGTCTAGCACGATTTTGAATAATTTAATCTTACATATTAACTTTTAATAGTTTATTCGTCCCTTTGTATAAAATTTATTTCAAATTAGTTACAATTTGACATCATCTATGAAAATTTATGTACTTCATTACGTCCCTTTATAATTATAACCATGGAACATATTTGTGATTGGTAAAGATGTACAATTTGATAAAAAAATCAACTGGATAGCAAAGCTATCGTTTAACTTTGGTAAATTTCAATAATCAAGAAAAAATTTAATCGTGCTGTGTTACAATTACTTAATAAAAAATGAATAAATATACTTAGTTACGACGTACCACCGTCTGTTATACTAAGCCATGACGTCACGCTCACTATAAGGCTATGACTAGTACAATAAATGAGATAATGGAATAAAGTAAGAAAGTTCCTACTCATTTATTTATAAATATATATAAATGTTTCGGGAAAGTTTCATCCGAATAGAAGTATGTATTTGTGTTATATGTAAATATGTCTTAGGGGTAACAAAGTCTTTCATATAAATATTTTGTGTGTACAGCCACGTCACTGACTTCGACTTTGACATAAAATGGTAGAGTTTCAACATTCAAATCCCCGTGTAATATCACGTGGGTGAAATTCTCCATATAATGAGTGAATAATGTTTGTGTGTGAACATGTTGAAATTCAAAACTGATTTGGAACTCTCTGAGGATAGTGATATATAAAACAGCGCAATTTTAAATATTTCAAGATAGTATTTTAAAAATACATAATTAGATCATTGTAACCAGATAAAACTAGTAATTACGAATATTTTGTTAGATATTAAAGATGGATTATTATCATAACCGATTAAGAAATATTTACTTATTAATGATGAACACAAATACAAAGTACTACTTAAAATGTAACTTACATAGACATTGTAAGGGTTAAATATACTATTTAGATAGAACGGATTACATGTAAAACATTTACAATATCTACAATACAATGAAAATAAAAGTATTTCGTATTAATGAAAAGTTTGGAAAAGAAATGTTATAATAAATGGTTAGTACAGTTAATAAATGGATAGTACAGTTAAGCTATTCCACAGTTGATGGTTCCACACGGCGTAGATACGAAATCGGAATTCTTGAAGAAGGCAGAAGATGAATGTAATGTTCATCAAATGATGAGTATGTAGGTACGAAAATGATTTAAAGTTCTTGGTTGACGTACTACGTGATATCTTGCACAAAAGACTAAGACAAAAAAGTTAATTATAATGATGATTTCTTTACTAGGTAGGGTGACAATGGATACGATAGGGACCAGGAAACAAAGACTTCTTCTGTAAATCCGGCATTGAACTGCATCGGAGGTTTCCTGTCCTTCGAAATGTTCAAGAGTTCTACTTTATGTGCCGTATGAGATATAGAGAATTATTTATTATTGTGTGTGTTAAACCACATCACTAACTCTGTCTCCAACACATTATGGTAGAGTTTATAACAACAATGGTCACTCCGTGTTGAGGTAAACCTCTCCATAGTGTAAAAAAAACTTGTGAAATAAAAATGATAATAATTACAATTAAAGTAGTGACAATTCGACGAAATTCTGCAAAAAATATGAAAATGTCAACACGTTGAATGTACTAATTTATTCTTGTTCTTCTTCAAGTTTTGGAGGTGGAAGTTCTGCAACCGTGGATAGAGCTGTGCTGGATACATTGGTGGCATCAATGGCTGTAATGGTTGTATTTCAGTACCAGCAGATTTTTCAAAAGAAGCTGATAATGAAAGGTGGTCACTGGATGCTGAACATGAACTAGGCACAAGTAGTAAATGAAGAGGTGGTTTAACAATTAGATGCAAAATTTTGCCTGTATCGTGACATACCACGGAAAAACGTATGTCCATGTTAGATGTAATGACCCATGAGCCATCAGTAATATGATACGCTAAAAGAAGACCAGGAAGTACAATAATAACACAATATTTATTTATGTTTAACTTATTGTCTGTAAACAAGGCAACAATACCATGTTTACTTAAATTAATGGGATATATTGGGGAACTGAAATGACATTGGTTGTTGCATATTAACTTTTAATAATTCACTAAGGAATACGTAAATGGTGATAGAGTATTTGCAATAGAAGGTTAGTACTTTAAGAGTACAGCGGAGCGGTCCATCATCACTTCGACATATGAGCATGGCACTCAAACATAGCTACGCAAGAAATGCCATTATCTATTAACCGTAACATGACGGCCTTCGTCGATGAGCTTCCTCCCTAAACTCTTATGGGTTCTACTGGTAGCCTCAGCAGACACAACTGTCCCTCTTGTTGTTATAGTGCTGTCCCCTCAGGACAAGACATCTCCCAAGCCCTAGGCAAGTCTGTGTGTAACTGTCCTTCACCATGTTGTTTAGATACACCTAATGGGACATCAGGCCAGGTCGGTGACACCAAAAGTACCGTGTCCCGAGAGTAAAACGGAAATCTAACGGCTACCCATTCAAGTAGGGCCTCGCTTGCTGATCAGGTACATGATCGTGACACTTACCTGACTGTTAGACTATGCAGCAAAAATGAAATAAAAACATAGTGTTTGTAACATATGTAGGCAACTAGTGGGTTTCATACAGGGATAAGTTGTGAATATTAAATGAATAGATTGATAAATAAACAAATATGTTACATACTGCATACTATAACTCGGGAAGCCACCAGATGATAATACTTACAATGCTGGTCAAGTCTTCTTCGTGTCAATGTTGAAACATCGCTTAAATGTACGCCGGCAGTACTTGTACATGTAGATATATACTGATGCATATTAATGTACAGATTCGCAGCAGGAAAGCTTTTAAAATAGCAACATGAAACTTTTGCATGTGTTTTCTTTAACCGGATTTGAAAGGTTAACATGTATGACCTTCCGTATCTGAATCAGTATAGACACAGACTCCCACGTGTATCCTGGAGTCATTATACTCAGGAAGGAGATAGTTAATGCAAAGTTCAGCCATGTCTCGTCTGTGAATCTGAGGGAAGATATGTTGCGTCATGTAAACAAAGTATATTTATCGAAAAGATCCTGCGGTCAATATGTTTGTTCTACCATGAAGGTCGAAATAACATTATATTGACTGAAGTAATGGTTGTATTTTTATATATAATTCATGCATCTGTATTTCGATCATTGTATTGTATATATTTATAATAATTTTATTGTCTTAAGTTACAAAGGATCATTCTGACAAATACTAAATAATCAACAGATTTATTTATTTTGATTAAAAAACAGAATGCTGACACCTTTTAACATATAAAATATCTTAATTAGAATATCACAAATTGTTTTTACTGTAACGGGTTTCATATGATGCGACATTTCTTAATTTACAAACATGTTAGTCCATATGGTCCACCTGGCCTCAATTCAGACATATATATCTTTGACATTTTAACACAACTGAGGAAGGAAGAACTCACCATCTAAAGCAACATCCAAAATATCAATGAATTAACACTATGCATCGTATACGGTGAAGTTGTTGCGATGAATGGATCAGATGAGCTACTCAACCTCAAATATGTGACAATACTATTAACAGGTTTGGAATTTCTTTATTTATTACCCAAGTATTTGTTTTTAACATGTGTTATATATTTTACATTTCTACATTTTGATGTCATATGTATTTCTGATTTGAAGACAGCAGGAATATCTTTATTTCACAAAGGAAAAACGATAAGCAGTCCACTTTCCCCTACCGATGGGTTAAATACGGAAAAGAAAAGCCCCCCCCCCCCACCCCTCCACGTCCTTTATCACAACTGACCAGTTATTGAAAGTACTGTCGCTCAGGCCCTCTCGGATAGTTCTGACCTTAACTCAGCTGTGAACAGTAGAGTAGAAGAGGCGTTGACAAACTATTAGTTGATTGTGATGATTAGCAGCAGTACTCGAGGCGCACAGTTCTCGGGTTCCACAATGTTCCAATATCAGGTCATTTTCGGTAGTTCGATACCAACCGGGCTGTTCTGGATACATGTCGGGGGATTGGGGTTTCTTTGTCAGAGGGGGACTTGTTCAGAAGCCACATCCTTGGTAAAGTTCGGAACAACAAAGTTACCGTTCATGTCCTGAGGTATACTGATGCTAATGCTAAGTCGAACCTTAAGAACAACCCGAACAGAACATTCATAACTGAGAGCCTCACTCCGTACCGACAGACTATTGTCAACAAATGAGTCCCTCCCGTCATCTATGTCAAAGTATGTATATATGTGTGAGTTAATATATATACTTTGTGTGCGTCAGAATTCTATTTCTAACACATTTGGTATCATTGTATGGATGATATATGTACATGGAAACGAGTGGGTATGGTATTGTGAGTGAGTTTTTATATAAGCTGTACTTTTGTACAATCCATGGAAAATCAGTTATATGAGCTTTGTTTACAATTTACAGAAAATTGGTACGTCTCAGTTTGAAGTTATGGTTTTAATTCAAATATAACCACTAGTGGTTATTCGTAAATAAACTGATAGAACACGTACAATGGATAGTCGTACACGGAATGAGTGTGCGCAGTTATCGTAATGCACGTATATTCTCATATGATATATATTAAACATGTTGCTAGGTGAACATATATTCCACACGAGTTAAACAGTATCCGTTACATCATACCTGTATGTATGCTGGGTATGAACTTAATATGTAAATATACACGCTATTCTATGTGATGTGTGTTGTGTGTGGTGTAGTGATGGTGTATGTGTGTGTGGTTGTGTGTGGTGTGGTGGCGGTGTATGTGTGTGTGTGTGTGTGTGGTTGTATGTGGTGTTGTGGCGGTGTATGTGTGTGTGTGTGGTTGTATGTGGTGTGGTGGCGGTGTATGTGTGTGTGTGTTTGTTTGTTTGTGGTGTGGTGGTTGTGTGTGTGTGTGTGTGATTGTGTGTGGTGTGGTGGCGGTGTATATGTGGGTGTGTGGGTATGTGTGTGGTTGTGTGGTGTGGTGGTGGTGTATGTGTGTGTGTGGTTGTGTGTGGTGTGGTGGCGGTGTATGTGTGGGTGTGTGTGTGTGGTTGTGTGTGGTGTGGTGGTGTATGTGTGTGTGTGGTTGTGTGTGGTGTGGTAGCGGTGTATGTGTGTGTGTGTGTGTGTGTGTGTGTGTGGTTGTGTGTGGTGTGGTGGCGGTGTATGTGTGTTTGTGTGTGTGTGGGTATGTGTGTGGTTGGGTGTGGTGTGGTGGTGGTGTATGTGTGTGTGTGGTTGTGTGTGGTGTGGTTGCGGTGTATGTGTGTGTGTGTGCAGGTGTGGAGTTAAGAGTTGGTCGGTACGTGTATGCATGTATGCGTGTATATTCCATGTATGCTACATATGTATATATATTCTTTGTGTTGATGAAATCAGTGATTAGAGTATTTTATGTAGTATTTAAGTGTAATATTTATATCCTATGTTGTCGTGCAATTAAGTGCTAACATTCATGTGTACCTAATGTCGGGACTCCAGTGGATGGCTGTGTCTATTCATCAAATACTATACTTTTATTTCTCTTAATTTTGTTTTCAAAACAATGACATTTTGTCTCTGTGCTGGGGTCCCCAAACGTAGATGGCAATGTCTTACAAGAAGGATTAGAAGGACAGGTGGAAGATTATCATGGCACGGGAGTGCAGGACATCTGATTGTTGAAGGAATATGAGTGTCTGTATAGTATTGCTACCTGTGCCGTCTGGGTAAGGGGACACTAGCACAGTGAAAGTCTTCACACCTTGCTATTTTTAAATATTTTATAAGCCCATCGTAAATCATGCCGTATTAAGATATGGTATTGTCCGTCCGTTCGTCCGTCCTTAGTGCTTGCCTATTTCGGCACTCTTGTTTTATCATTATTTTTTTCTTCTGTATTCACAACAAAACCGTATTATGTGTATACACGAAGTGGTATTTGCCGGCACACGCTAACAAGATAAGGTACAAACCCATGTTTTTTTAGCGTTCTGTCCAAGACATTGGTCATTATGTCAGGTTATATAGTCATTTTACGTTGATTATGAGCAAATCTTACCAGTGATTGAATTTCAAGTATGAATTATAAATGATTTATTTATGCCCTGTATTTTTCCTTGATTAATTTACATAGTTTGTGTCAAATATATGTACAGTCACCACACGATCACAACCGTAAAATTGTTTTACTGTATCGACTTGCTTCATGTTGGTCTTATTATTGCTTCACGTCACTTTGCTCTTTTTTGCCAATTCAGTGGGGTTTTTTTTACATGACAGGTCCCGTTTATTCGTTTAAGTGTATTTCTATAAGTCTTGTCAGTTTCAAATGCTGGTTTGAACACTATGATTTTTTCATGATATTCAAGATACCGATCCGCTATTCTACTTCATGCTTAAGTTTCACATTTGAAAATGGGTAATTCTTTTTTGTGTATAGCGATCGGTACCTTTTATTCTAAGGTCTATGAAGATGTTTGATGACGTCATTTATCACTTTTTGTGTATAGCGATCGGTACCTTTTATTCTAAGGTCTATGAAGATGTTGGATGACGTCATTTATCACTTTTTGTGTATAGCGATCGGTACCTTTTATTCTAAGGTCTATGAAGATGTTTGATGACGTCATTTATAATTTTTGTTTTGCTGTAAACTCTTTTTTTTATATTGCTTCATCGATTGCATAGCATTCTATTTTCGTTGATTTATCATTTTAATATTATGTTTTATTGTTTCCGAAATTTTGAATTTTCAATGATTTTGTTATGTTAATTGAAGGTTTGTATTCTCCTTTTAGACTCGATAGAAATGTTCGCGGGGGTGGTGTTTTGGTTTATATAAATAGCCTTTTGAAAGTTGATCGTTTGCCTGAATGAGAATATCCTGGTTATGAGATAATATGGACCACAATTACCCTTCCTCACTCTATTTACATTATTGGAACGGCTTATAGACCAGAAAACTCTGACTAACCATTTTGGACAATTTTCAGGTTATCTGTAAATAATGCTCTCAATATATCTCCTCATGTTATAGTAACTGGGGATTTAAATATTGACTTCCTCATTGCTTCAAATAATCACGTGCTGTTTGATATTATTAACTCCTTGTCATTAACTAACTTACTCGTATTGGACGTACTAGATCTAGCTTACTTTACTGCTGATTCCATTTCCTGTATTGACTCTTCTGTAGTTTCTAAATATAAATCAGTTAGTGACCATGATGGTTGTACGGCTTCAATTAATCTACCTTGTCTTTTTAAATCGAACAATAAACGTAAATTTTGGCAGTACGAGAGGACGAATTTTGCAAAATTCAACGAACTTATATCTAATTATAAATATATAGACATTTCTTATAATTGTGACTCGGTTAATGCTGCATGTGATCGTTTAACGGACATATTTCTGTCCATTACTAATAGATGTATTCCCTGTAAAGCAGTAAATATACACCCTGATGACAAGCCATGGATGACCTCTGAACTCAGGAAAAACACATGAATTAAGGATAGACTGCAAAAAATAGCGAGGTCAACTAAACGTTTGGTAATTATTCATAAATTTCAATCACAGCGAAACGAAGTTAATAACATGAAAGAGCATGCACGTGTTACTTCTTATGAAAATGTCTTTGATATCGTTGACGGATACTCGTCTTCGGATCCAAAGTCTTATTAGAAATTAATCAAAAGGTTAATCAAAACGTCTGATACTTCTCAACCTATACCTTCCCTTATATATCCTGTTACCAATGACATAGCTACTAGAGATGAAGATAAGGCTGAATTATTAAAT